TTAGATCAGGTCAGTCCTTAAATTCTGGTTGCTTATTATTGTTGTGTGTTGTTCAAGCCAAACACCCTTTGCTAACTTTTCCCAGAGACAGTCGGCTATCCAGGCTGGCTCCTGTTTTTTGTTTTTTTGTTTTTGTTTGTTTGTTTGTTTGTTTTGTTTGTTTTTATTTTCCTTTTCTTGATATCTCTTGTTCTATTTACATAAGACTGACCCCACAGAGATGCAAAAGCAAAAGCACCAATGGCAAATATTTATTGGCAGTGATCATGGTCCACCAAGCACCATCTTAAGTACTTTATTTTAGTTATCCAATACTCATAGGTGCTAGAGCTGAACTTATTTTGCAGACAAAATGCTGAGGCACAGAGAATGCAACCTGCCTAAAGATGATTGTCTGCTAAGGAATGGATCTAGGAGTTGTACATGTGAGTTACATCACCTGATTTACTCCAGAGCCCACATTCACCCTGTTACTTCATCTTTTCGGGTTTTGTTCTATTTTTCTTAAATGAATGAACCTAGAGAACTACTGAGTTATGTCATTCTAGATAAAGCTCCTTTAAAATCTAATTGCTTCATACTCAAAATCTATAATTCACCGACAAAAAGCTTAGACATGCAAGACAGAGAAGAGGAAACAATTGTCTCGAATGTAAATAGGCTAATCCAGAGTTTGGCTCTCTGCAGGTTGGCTGGTCCTTGAGTGGAAACATCTCCATTTTAGATGTTTAACAGAAGCTGGTGGTTCATTTAACTCCTCCATTGCCTCAACTACTGTCCTGCAGGGTTGGGGCATTAGTAACTAGACAGGATTGAGCTCCCCACCACTGGCAACTTTCACAGATGAAAGTTTGTATAAATGCCAGTTATTCTGGTTTTTAACGACTCATTATTGAGCACCCTGATTCACTCTTAGCAAGCAAGATTTCTTTCTCCTTGCCCCCTCTTCTCTGATGCAATTATTTTTGAAACGATGTATCAGAGTGTGCTATGTTGTCTTCCTCGTGGCCTCAAAGGATCTTGGGTCTTTCTCCCAGCAAGTTTCACCCCCTGCTTCTTTTGGAAATAAAAATGGAAGATGACAGAGGACAGTGCTGGGTGCCATCTTGAAACTGTTTTCTTAGGCCCCCTGAAATGAGAGTGGGTGGAGCAGCGGCATAGACTATGAAAGGCATCCCCCAAGGCTCAGAGAGACATTGCATTCATTTCTCTAGCACCAACTCACCCAGTCCCAAAGAGTGCTTTCTTTAGCCAACTCCAGGAAGCCTGGGTAGGGACATGAGAATTGCAACTTTGAGTCAGGAGACCAGGACTACGACCCAGACCCTCCTCCCCCTCCCCCACCCCAAATAGTTGTCTAATCCTTAATCAGATGCTTTGTCTTTCCCCAGCTCATTCTCCTCATCTGTCAAATCAAATGAAGGTTCTGGAATAGATGATCTCTAAAAACCCTTCCAGCTCTACAGTTCTATTCTGGGTCTCTCTGCACCTGCAGAGAGACATGTGGAAGGGCACTGGGAGGGGGAGGGAAGTAGCCAGGGAAGTAAGGCACTTTCACCTGCAGCGGAGCACAAGCGTGTTCATCTCAGATTATCCAGATAACTGATCGAGTTCCCTCTGTCTTTTGCCAATGGACACACAGCTTTCATTTGGCTGGGGACAGCAGCTGCTTTTCCTGAAATTTCCATCCAGGGCTTCCATCCTCTGCTGTGTCCTCTGGGAAACCTGTCATGTTTTTTTCTGGATGGATGCCCATAGAATTTTAATCCAGTCAGAGAGAGAGAGGGGAGAGAGGAGAGAGAGAGAGAGAGAGAGAGAGAGAGAGAGAGAGAGAGAGAGAGGAGGGGGGAACAGGAGGGGAGTGGAGAGGCTCAGACTACTATTCACAACAACAAAAGGCCAAATGTACTTAGTAGCTGTGGATTGACTTTTTATTTAATTTGGTTATTTCAAGTGCTTGGAGCCTAGATGGGCATCTGGTAACAATATTATTTGCACTGCAAATATGGAGCTCTGACTAGAGCCAGTGAGTTCACATAGTTAATTGGTTCATCTAGAAGACAGCCTGCACGTGTGTTGGAGACCGTGCGCTACCTCAGTCCTGACATTTCTGGATGCTGGATATGTCTCTACTTCATCCCAAATAGTTCCACTGTCTTTCTTCCCCAAGTAAGCATTTGTAGACAACAGTGTTGGTGGTGTGTCTCTGCCCTCAGAACCCAATTTTAAAAGGTAGAGTTTTCTAAGCTGTAGGAAGATCCACCCCCTCCCCTAGCCAGTAGAAATGTGAATTCCTGAACTCTGATCCCAGACAGTTGTCAGATAATTTTGAGACACGGGGAATTGGATTTTGTTCACCCCAAATCAGGTTGGTGCAGGATGATGGGCTCCTAAGAAATGCTCCTGGTTAGTAATAAATAGCACGATCAAAGCAAAACTTCATGTTTTGGCTGCCATCTCCTGTTATTTGGACAAAACAAATGAAAACGATTGTCAAATATTCAGAATGTTTTGGCATTAACATTAAGGGCATAGCCCTGAGTCTCTCTGAGCAAACTTCATGCCTTAGGGATTCTGGAAACGCAAAGCCAGGAGCAACTGGAAACTAAAATCAGAGCCCTGAGAAATTGATGAAGACCTAGAACACCACCAAGGTCACAGACAGAGAGGAATTCAAACTTTGCATTCATTGACCTGTGCTTGGACAAGTGACTGAACTTCTCAGAGGAAGCCTCCTTTTTTTCTTTTTTTCTTTTTTAGCCCTGACCTGGAATGTCTCTACCTTCCTGAGAAAGGGCTTCAGAATATTAAATGTGTTTAGATACCCAGTATGTGAGTGTTCAGAGCAAACAAACAAAAGCTCCTACTTGTAACAAAGTATACAAACTTTGCCTCTAAGAAAGTGGAGGGTTAAGCTCCAAAGCAAAGCAATACAGAGAAACCCTCTCGAAAAACCAAAATAAATAAACAAATTAAATTAAAATAAAGAAAGAGGGAAAGAAAGAGGAGGGATAGGGCCAGCTCCCAGAAATCAGAACTGGCCACTCCTTTTCTTTTTCTCTTCCTTCCTTTCTTTCTTTCTTTCTTTCTTTCTTTCTTTCTTCCTTTCTTTCTTTTTTAAAGACTTTCCCCAGGCCTGACTTCACGAGTAGCAGGTGTGTCTGGCTGCTGGTGTCCTGGTAACTAGGAGGCTGCAGAACGCTGAGGCCTAGGGGCTTGGATCCATGTAAGGTTGTTGCCCAGTTCTGTCTGGGCTGTTGCTGGAGTCCCAGCGATGCTTTAGGGGTTTTAAACTAGAGAGAGGACTCCCACTCACTCTAAAGCGGAAGCCTGGGCGCCTCTCGCTGGTTATCTCGAGCTCCCCACCGCCTGGTGTGTGTGTGTGTGTGTGTGTGTGTGTGTGTGTGTGTGTGTGTGTGTGTGTGTGTCTTTGGTCTGGAATTCAGGACCCATACCCCGGAGCACGGATCTCAGCTAGCAAATAGGGCACCCAGTGGGGAGCATCCGAGGCCTCGGGAGTCCTCCTTCACAGACTGGTCTTTGGGGCCAAGAAGGCGGGCGGTGCTTCTGTGTGCAGGGAGCCGGCTCGCGAAGGAGGGACTCCTTTCTTCACTCCGCTCCCTTGTCTTCCTCGCTGCCCGGCGACAGCGGACGTTGCAGGCGGTTGCCACGCGGTCGCCCGGGAGGTGTTCTGCCTGAGGGCTGTGCCCACAGAGCTATCTTTGAGCTCTCAGTTTTCCTTCTGGGATACCCCTCGTCCAGTGGACATCACTCAACACAATCACCCTAAGTAGCCCCAGTCCCACAGTCAAAGCCCGAGGTCTGCCTGGGGTGCGACAGATACCCTTGGAAGGGACCAAACGCGGTTGCCCCAAGGGGCCAGAGGTGGCACCCGGAGAGGACTGCGGTTACCCGGCTTGGCCCGCCCCCTCCACGTTCCACAGCCTCGAGGGGCCGCGGCGGTGGCCTGGAGGTGACAGCCGGAGCCCCTCGGAGGCCGCCACACACACTCGCTGCCCTCCCCACTCACTCCCTGCCTCCCACCTTCTCGCCAAGACCCCCGCCCCTCCCCCGCCCGCCTCCTCCCCATTCTTGGAATTGTGTGGAAAAATTCTCAGCCAAACCTCCCACCTCTCCTCTCCTCTCCCCCCCCCCCACCACTCCCTTTTAAAAACCCCCTTTCCTCCGCGGTCCCTGCACTCTTTGTGAATGAGGGCCGGGAACGCGGCCCTTCCCCCGCCCAGGAGCCACGCCAGACCGCCGCACTCACAGGACTGTTTGTTAATAGTCCAATTAGATAATTGCCATCTTTCAGTCCTTTTGCTCCGCATTTCCCATAAAAGAATGAACGGGGAGAGCGGCGTGGAGAGGGCTTCTGCCCCGGCAAGGTGACGAGAAGGGCTGGAGCAGGCTCCTTGCACAAGGCCAAGCGCTTGAATTGAATCATTGTGGCCTAATCAATGCTGTTATTGGATTACTGGCTGTTGCTTTTCTCAAAGACATTGTAGCAAGACAATGAAATAGCTAGGGGGAAACTTTTTTTTTTAAAGCAGATCTCACAGTTGAGAATTTTAGTCTCTCTCTCTCTCTCTCTCTCTCTCTCTCTCTCTCTCTCTCTCTCTCTCTCCCTCTCTCTCCTTTTCTCTCTCTCTCCCTCCACCCCCCTCCTGCTGGACTCTGAGTACAAAGCTGCCCTTTGAATGGATTGCCTCAGGGCTGTTGGAGGTGCAGGCATGAAAAAAAAAAAAAATATCCAACTGAGGCCTCAGGGAGAGGGGCGGCAGTTTAAGATGGCTGTCGGCATCGAGGTGTGTTAAAGAGTTGCTTGGGGAGAAAGCTTGGCTTTTTTGGAGTGTGTGTGTGTGTGGGAGACTTTGGGGGGAAACTTTCCTCCTCCTCCCTTCTCTCCCCACTTAGAGGCAATTGCTTTCTTCAGCTACATGGACTGAGGGGGTGCAACCCCCCCCCCCCGTTCAGCTCTGTATGGAGAGCCTGGAAGCCCCCTTTAGCCAGTATGCGAGCAGGAAGGTCAAAGGCAAAGAGAAAGTTAATAATGCCTGCTAATGGTGCTAACAATTCAGGATGAATCTTGTCAAAAGTTTTTTCTGGAAGTGTGGGTCTTTGATTGTGTTTCCCGAAAGCAAGACCAATCATTTCCGTTTATTCACTGGCTAAACCCCTACTTGATTGGGGACAAGGACAGAAACCATCCATTACGATCTGATATATTATCCAAACAATTTAGTGTATTCATGAGGTAACTGAAACGTGGGGGCTGCGAAATTACCCGTAATCAATTGCAACAGCGAGTGTGCGTCCCCCGGGTGTCGGACAACCACAACTCGGCGGTCTCAGTAACAGGCGGAGCCGCAGCGTTTTTGGAGTTGCGCTGTTCGCTACCTGATCGCCAGGCTGGGGACACTGGACGTGCTCAGAGAAGGCGAGCGCTGACGAGGCGGCCTCGCTACTGCTCCGCCGGGATCCTGGACCAGACCTGCCGCCTGTCGTACTAGCGCGTCACTCTCCTGTCGCCGCTGACCCTCCGCGGCCGCCGAAGCCACCCCGCGGGGACATTCATTCTCGCGGGCGACGGAGCTTAGGGGCTGCGTTGTAGGGGTTTTGTCCCCTTCTGCCTCTTTTTTTCCTCCCCCTCCCCCTTTTCTTCTTTTCTGTGTTGTTTTGCCTATGTTCGGGAAACCAGACAAAATGGACGTCCGGTGCCACTCGGACACCGAGGCCGCCAGGGTCTCGAAGAACGCTCACAAGGAGAGCCGGGAGATCAAGGGCGCCGAGGGGAGCCTTCCGGCCGCCTTCCTCAAGGAGCCGCAGGGCGCCTTTTCGGCGTCTGGCGCTTCGGAAGATTGTAACAAAAGTAAATCCAATTCCTCCGCAGACCCGGATTACTGTCGCCGGATCCTAGTCCGAGGTACGGATGGGCAGGGCTTTGGGGCACGTTCTTTTGGGGGTAATCCCCTGGCCGCAGCTGCGCGCCGCCGCCCAGGCTGGCGAGGACTTGGGAGAAAGTTGTTACTGGTCCCCCTTTACTCGGGTCCGGCCGGACGCAGGGGATCCGAGCCTGGGACTCCTCTGAACTCCCTCTCCTGGGGTCCTCGGCCCTAGCAGCGCGGAGGGGCCCCGCCAGCCCAGCTACGGAAAGGAACCCAGGCACTGAGAGCGAGGGGTGCGCAGGCCACCAAACTGCGGCTACGGACCCGGGGGACGTGCGCGTGTCCTTCGGGATAAGGACCTGCTGGTGGGCGGCCTGCGGGCTTCTAAGCCCCGGAGGGCAGAGCGCACCCAAAAGAACGCTGGGCGTGGAAGAGCAGCCTTCCGCCGCAGGATAGCGCTCGGCCAGTAGGCTGGCTGGGCTGAGTGAGGGCCCTGGCGCTGTGCTCCCGGCCTGGCCGCTGCAGCCCAGAGAAACCTCCGAACAGGGGCGCGGGGCTGCGGATGCCGCCTCTTTGCTGGACCCGGCCTCGCTCAAAGAGCGGCATGCGCTCCGGGCGGGCATCAGCGGCTCGGAGGCCGGCTTCAGCCAGCGCCGCCCCCGCCAGCAGATAGCCAGGCCCCGCAAGCGGGCTTTCAGTCCCTCCTCCTTCTACCGCCTGGGTAGAAGCCGGCTAGAGACCCGGGGTGGGGGTGGGGACTGCAGGACTGCAGGCTGCTCCTCAGTCTGGGGCCAGGCTGGGACTGGGGTGTTCAGTAACGGCCCCTCTGGGCTGCTGGGGACTCGGATCACGCAGCAGAGGCCCCCTAGGCCAGAAGGACTATCCCCCTATTTAGAACTCATTTTGTTTTTGGTTTTGGTTTTGTGTTTTGTTTTGTTTTTTTCCTCCTCTGTGTCTTGAGGAACTCTACCAAGACGGAGTCTGGTTATTCTTCCAATTAGTGCTATGAAGTTAGCCCCTTTGGTCTCCATACACCCACAGGATCTTGGCTTTACCACTGCGGCCACCCGTACACCCGCCGCATCCTGCTGGAGATTTGTTCCTAGCTAGCTCGGGGAAAAGAGGAGGAGGAAACCACGAGGGTTCTTGTGGCTGACATCTACCCTTCCCTAGATGCCAAAGGGTCTATCCGAGAAATCATCCTGCCCAAGGGCTTGGACCTGGACCGGCCCAAGAGGACACGCACGTCCTTCACGGCGGAGCAGCTCTACCGGCTGGAGATGGAGTTCCAGCGTTGCCAATATGTGGTGGGCCGGGAGAGAACCGAGTTGGCCCGGCAGCTGAATCTGTCCGAGACCCAGGTACCCAGCTGCTCACAGCCCCAGGCTTCCTCTTCCCAGCACCCCAGCCGGTCATTCCTCACCATCTACCTTGCTTTGGGTCAAACTGCCCAGGGATGTGGAGGAGTAGGAACGGAGAACGGACAGGGATGAGTCTAAGACTTTCTCCTCTTTTATAAATTATCATTTCCTCTCCACATCCTCAAGTGCTCCATAGTCTAATTTCTTCATACCTTGACTTGGCCCGGGGGACCCCATATTTAGTCCTTTTGGACTTATTTTTGGTTCTCAGACTTTAGAATTTGTGGATGGCTTCTGATTTATAAAAAGCTGGTCAGCGCCTCCCCCCTCCCCCCGCCCCCCGGCCGCCCTGTTTGGATACATACTATTTTGGTTATATTCCCAGTAACACACCGCTTTGGGAACCTACGGTTTACCCAATACCCAGATCCATTCTACAAGAAGCAGGATTGGAAAGCAGTGCCAGCTCTCAGAGACCTGCCTGAGCAAATATGGCAGCCCCCACCCCTTAAAAACCAACCCTGGGCACCCTTCTGGGGTACCAAGATGCAGTGTCCTCTGTGCCAGTGAGTGGGCAGAAGATGTGGTGACTTGGGTGCAAGCTGTGTACATTGTGTCTGTTGCATTTTAGGCCCTCTCCTTACCACAGAGTCCCATGTTGCCCATTCAAGCTTTACATACGTACTGCAAGGCGGAGAGGGTTTGCCTGGCCTGAGCTGTTTGGGTCAGTGTCTTCCTAGTCTCTTTCCCTGTGCCCAGTCAAGCAGGTGGAGAGCATTTTAGCTCTAAAATCGGGCCTGAATACTGAGAACTGAGGACAGAACAGATGGGAAAATCTAAGTTTGGGTTGGCATGGTGGCATGTCTCATATTGTCTGTGTTAACCCAACCTTTAGATTTCAAAAATCCAAGTAGGATGTTTTCCTCTGCCCCATAGAGCCACTACCCTCTATTCTAGGCCCAAAAAGGCAGAAGGGGAAAGGGGCATTGGAACGTATTTAGTCTACAATAGTCTCCTGTTTTTCATGACCCCAAAGTCCCCGATTGTGCAGAGGGAGTGATAAAAAGTATATCCTCAGACTGACTCTTCAAACTAGCAGGTGCTGAAAGGCGGGAGAAAGCTTGGCTTGGCAAGTCCTCCAGGCTTTTACCCACCTTCTCTGTCTGCTGCTGGTCAGTCTTTGGCCTAACAAGCAGGGAACGACCTCTTGGAGTCTCTAAGAAGCACCGTTAGATTATCGGAGGCCAAATTTGAACTCACTGGGCTAGCGACCTAGATCTCGGAAGGCTGAGAAACACAGTTCCCCAGACACCTCAGCTTCCTGCACAACCTTCCCCGGGCCCTCAGGCTCTCTGGATTGTGCCGATTCACCAATCGGTGAACACAAGACACCTCCGTGGGGATCGCAGCGGCGCAGTGACTTATCTGTCTTCCTTCCTCGTTAGTGTCGTGGACGTTTTATTACTTTGCTTTTGTAACCCGCTCTGGCCTAGGCCTGCTTGTATGACCCGGAAGCGTAGCCCAGTGGAACGGTGTCCCCCTCGTGGTGGTTCTTGCTTCGCTAGAAGCTTTGGAGCCTCGATCCTCTGCTGCAGGGTGGGGCTGCGACTAGGACTGGGATTAGGGGAGGGTCCCCAGTAACCCAGCCCCCCCAATCTCTTCCGCCTTTGACCCTGCTTTCCTGATGCTCTCTCCCTGATTTCCCTCCCGCACATCTGCGCTCAGGTGAAGGTCTGGTTCCAGAATCGGCGAACCAAGCAGAAGAAGGACCAGGGCAAGGACTCCGAGCTGCGCTCGGTGGTGTCAGAGACCGCCGCCACGTGCAGCGTGCTGCGGCTGTTGGAGCAGGGCCGCCTGCTGTCGCCGCCCGGCCTGCCTGCCCTGCTACCTCCCTGTGCTACCGGCGCTCTCGGGTCGGCGTTGCGCGGGCCCAGCCTCCCGGCCCTGAGTGCTGGCGCTGCGGCGGGCTCGGCCGCTGCTGCCGCCGCCGCCGCCGCCGCTACTGCCCCAGGCCCCGCAGGCGCAGCGTCTCAGCACCCGCCTGCCGTGGGCGGCGCTCCCGGCCCAGGGCCTGCGGGGCCCGGGGGACTGCACGCGGGAGCACCCGCTGCCAGCCACGGTCTCTTCAGCCTGCCGGTGCCGTCGCTGCTAGGCTCTGTTGCAAGCCGCCTTTCCTCGGCCCCGTTGACGATGGCTGGTTCGCTAGCCGGGAATTTGCAAGAACTTTCAGCCCGGTACCTGAGTTCCTCGGCCTTCGAGCCTTACTCCCGGACCAACAATAAAGAAGGGGCCGAGAAAAAAGCGCTGGACTGATTTTCAGTGTTACCCTGTATTTATATTTATAACATCTATTGTGGTGGTATTTATGGACTCGCGCGCGCGTTAGGCGCCCAGTGCTCCTGCGCTGGCCTTCCTGCCCCCCCTAGGCCTCTGACTGCTCCCCCACAAGGCTCCTCCCCGCAGGCTACTGATTTCATCTCACTTGAGCTGTTTTTGTTCTCTCTACTTTTCCTTCCTCCCTCCAACCCCACCTTTCTTCTGAATCCAGGAATGATCCAAAGAATTGGGGAGAAATACCCGAATTAACCAATCCCTGGTTTCCCCCATCCCTGCCAGCCAGGGAAAGAACAGACTGAGCCTAAGTCCACCTGCCCCCCCACATACACCTGTTCTGGTTAGGGGCACTGCACACCGCTCTTACGAATTTTTGGAAGAGGAAATATGTTCACGGGCCGCCAGGGACTGAAAGGCTTCTTGGTTTCTTTGGACAACCCCCCCTCCAAAGGGCCTGTCTCCTCTTGTCAGAGAAACCTTGGCTTTTGGAGTTCTTGGCCCCGATTTTTAGACCTCTCAGGATAACTGGTGCATAGTCAGCTCCCGTCCGAACAGAGCTGATGAGTTTTATTCCCTTTAGGGAAACTCTAATCGCAAGCTCCTCGACCCCAAGAAACGATAAATCAAACGTCTTGTTAGGCAAAGGTGGTGATAAATTTGATCTAACAGCAATAAGGCAATAGTAATTGTTACAGTAAACCAGATAAAGTGTTACCTGTTTTTAAACACTCATAAACAGTTGAGTTTGCAAAGAATAAGGAATTCGTGCTAGAGAATGCACCACGGGGCCGTGCAAAATTAAAATCCCGAGTGCTGTGACTTTATATGGGAACTTAAAGAAGAAAAGTCAGTGATACCAAGAAGAGAAGATTCAGGGCCATGGCTGCACCGTGGCTGGAATGGCTGTGTTTGGAAGTAAATCAACACCCGCTGTCTTCTGAACTCTACGTCCACAAAGGCTTTTCACGCCCCGGGTTTCCTGAACTTTTGCTTTCGGAAGCACACGTTGGGATGCCCAGCACCATGGCCCTGGCCTGATTCCTTGGTACCAGTGTTTCCTTGCAGGGCAGACAGGGCACACACCTCTTCCTCCTCAACCCCAGGGTGTCAGCCATCCCGAGTTAGGACCCTTACCACCATGTGGGTGCAGCCCCCAGAACCACAGCCACCTTATTTTAACCAAAACCACAGGCCCAGAGCGCGAGGTGCCTCAGTGTCTAGAATGTATTCACCCATCCGAAACAATCGCAAAACATTAAAAATATTAGTAACTTTATTGTAAATTATTTACATATGAAGTTTCCCCCCTTTTCGTTTTTCCATTTCTTTTCTTGTTTCATTTTTTTCTTTTTTGTTTCTCTCTCTTTCTCGCTCTCTCTCTCTCTTAGGTAAATAGTGAAGAAAATAACGAACGATTCAAACGCGGGTAGGTGTCACTGAACCCTGGCTACTAACTGTGTTCTGGATGTCTTGGCTCTTTGGATGTTTTTGTATTTATGTGGTGAGAGTGAAAAATATATATCTATGATGATAAAGTGTATTTTTGTCCTATATTTGCAAGATTACAAAATCTCTCTCTCTCTCTCTCTCTCTCTCTCACACACACACACACACACACACACGTGCACAGCAAAAAGAGAAGACTCTCAGGGTTTAGGTGTGAGTCCTGAAAGCACTGGGTGCAGGGAGGAGGGAGGGGGGCCGGCACACGACCCACACTCTGGAGAGTGGACTTGGAAGTGCAGGGGTGGGGGCTGGGCAGCGTGTTGTTCCTGAGGAGACCTGCTTCTGGTCCCGAGTTCTTTTTGGTCTCCCCTTCTTTGCCCGAAACACAGGTTTCTCAGTGCTGTCTCTTCTGTCCTGCTCAAGTTTCTGTCTCCTGACGCTCTCCACTCTCAGCATTTCAACACTGGGATCTTGTGCAAATCCGCGGTTCTGGACCAGCAAGATTTTAATTAATTTATTTTGACTTAGAAATCTCTTGGCCATTAAGCAGAAACTTTGAAGGCGAAAGGAAAAAAAAAAAACGATCTAAATATTAATCCCTCTGTGTGTGTGTGTGTGTGTATGTATGTGAGAGAGAGAGAGAAAGAGAGAGTCTCCTTCATCCTGACCCTGGGACACGGGTTGTGGCTCAGGATGGAGGCCTTGCCTCTGGACTTGGGGGAAGGTGGGAGTGGCCCTGGAAGATGCTGGCCTTGGACATGACCTCCTCAAAAGCTCAAGCAGTGGGCACAGCGGAGGGTCCACAGGGTGGCATCCCCACAAGTGGAGGTTGCTGGTGCAGGGACCACAGTTCCCTGGTGGTGCAAGCCAGCCCTTGAACCCCGACTCATATGCAATGCCTGCACTCCCCCGTGGACGAATCCAAAGGCGGGGAGTGGTGTCAGTGTGGACAGCAGACACTCGACTACGCCCTAGGACAGATGGGGGGGTGGGGCTGTCTCGGGCTCTGGGTCCTGCTGGATGTCAGAGTAGCAGCCCACACACAGTTCCTTTTTTTTTTTTTTTTTTCAAAGTCGGACTTAGACCCTCAGTTCTGTGTTCTCTCTTTCCCTCTCCCCCCCCCTTCTCTCCCAGATTCCATCTCTCCCTTACCCTGGCTGCCCCGAAGTCAAGGCTGTGGGTGGCTCTGCCTTCTCTGTCAAAGCTGGTGGCTGAGGCCCTCCTGGAATAGAAGGTGGCATAATCTTATGGAACAAAAGAAAACACAAAATCCCAGTTTTGGGTGCCCTAGAGACTTGGCCCCTCTGCAGCAGGGGCCAGGAAGGGTTCTTCCCAGCTCCCCCACTTCCCACTTTCTTCTCCCGAGAAGGAGAGCTATCCCCACCCATGCCTCTCCCTGTCACCTCCCTTCCCTCTTGGCTCTGGGCAGAGCCACTATGCTGGGCAGGCCTGCCACTTAGGGAGCACAATTGTTCTTAAAGGGCCTCTTCTCCCGTGAAAATGAATCACAATTTTAATTAAAAAACGTTTGTAGACAATCCATTTAATTTTAGTGCCTGTCTTGTTTTCCCTCCTTCTGCAAGGGCCTCTGGAACCGGAGACTCATAGGGAAGAGGCAGGTGGCTGTGGTGACAACAGCTGGCTCCACTTGGGAGAAGGTGGGAGGGCTCCTGGGATATGGGAACAGCTGGGGTGGGGGCTGCTGAGAGGGCTGTCATTCTCAGGCCTGTACAAAGCATCGTCCACAGTAGAGCAGAAAGGAAAGGAAAGACAGCCTTCCTCCAACCCCCTGTGGCTTTGCTGGTCAGATCTGGCAAGTTAGCTAGGGAGTGGTTTGGGGACTCAGAGGCCACTTTTTCCATGGACCTCACTCCCAGTCAGATGTGTTGCTCCTCTGGAGCAGCAGTTAGCTACTCTTAGGAATTACAAATAGGTATGCACACAAATAGGTGTGCACACGCGCGCGCGCACACACACATACACACACTCTCTCTCTCTCTCACACACTCACACATACTCACACACACTCATACACACTCTCACACACTCACTCACACACACTCACACACACACTCTCTCTCTCTCTCTCTCTCTCACACACACACACACACACTCCTGATTTCTTCCATTGCTGTGCTTCTTTTCCTGCTTAGAAGTTCTCCAGCACTGTCTTTTTCCTGGTTGGAAAGAGCCCTTTTGTCTTTTGCTTTGCTGTTTGCCCCCTCTAGGGAGTCTTTCTAAGGTCCTTGAAGGGTTTTCAAGGCATTTTCTTCTAACTTCCTGATGCCCTGTGTCTAAGGGACACAACTGATCAGAACTTAAGCCCTCAACTAGGTCAAAGTTTTCCAAGATACATCTTTTACACCAGCCTCTTAAAATTCCTTAACACTTCCCTTTATTTTGGAATCAGAAGTTTGGGGGTTGTGCTTTGCATGCGTGCGTGCGTGCGTGCGTGCGTGCGTGCGTGTGTGTGTGTGTGTGTGTGTGTGTCATATAGAGAGCAGAGAAAAACATTGTCTTTCTCACTTTCCACCTACTTCTTAAAACAGGATCTCTCATTGAACCCAGAGCTTACCGATTCAACAAGATTGGAAGGCCCAGAGATCTTCTTGTCTCTGTCTCAGAAGTGCTAAGTTCACAGGTGCTTGTTACCACACTAGGCTTTTTACATAGGTAATAGGGATTTAAACCAAGGTCCTTGCATTTGTGTAGCAAGCATTTTGCCACTGAGTCATCTCCCTAGCCTCAGGCTGAGCATTTTAAACAAATTTTCAAAGAGGTTCTTATGGGCACTAACATTTGACAGCCACTGCATTAAATGACATACTACCCACTACAACAGTCTCCAGTATGTGGTCCAGGGACTAGGAGATGGTGGAAATACAGCGAATGTTTGTTAAACAAATTAATCCCCTCTTTCTGACCCAGTGTAGAGTTTCTTGAACTATACATTGTAACAGAATACTATTTTTATACAGGAAAATCATTACATTTCACAGCATTTTTTATTTGAGTATGTGTCATGTTGGCGGAGCAGGAGAGGAAAGAGAGGTCTTGTCTGTGATCTAAACTTTCTGTGAGGGCCTTTTGTAAGCTCAGCTTAGACCTCCTTGCTGAACACATCCCTGCTGTCTTTCAGGTCTGGTGATTAAGAAAATATAGGACAGGAGTCCATTAGGTCTGCTGAACTCACACACTTGTTGGAGGGACACCAGAGTCGGGGGGGGGGGGGCTACCAGAATAGAACCCTAATGAGGCTTATGTTCTGATGTAGAGTCCCCTGGGAGGTTTGTGTCACACCCAGGATATCATGCATACAAGGCAAACACCCTAGCCCTGAATTCCATTCCAGCCCTTCCCCTTAACCAGAAAACAGAAATTATTGTGCTGACTATTGTAGTATTCAGCCCTTCTTGGAAATAAATCGTATCATATATGTGCACAATTTTAATATAAAGAGGTTTTCTTTCCCTATACAACTATATGAAATTTTTCATTGAAAACATTTGTTATGCATGTAAAATATGTAGACAGCAACGACATGAATGTAAACACACATACACACACACACACACGTGTTCCTCAGGATACCACAAGGCTGATGACTCTGGTTTGACACACAAAGGAAAAACAATTTGTGTTAGTGATTGCTTGTGAC